GGCGTGCGGCCCGCTGGCCCACTGGCCCGCTGACGCTAACCCAGGCAAGCCCGCGTGGACCTCTGCCGTCCAGCACCCCAGGCGGTACACCTCGTCATCTGGGGCCAGCGCGTGTGCGCGGGGACGTGTTGCAGCAGCCGCAGAGAACCAACCCAGCACGACCCCTGTAACGGTTGGCGTCTGCCACTCAGCACGAGTCCCCTGGGCTTGGCAGGCCCGGGGCATTACTCTGTATGACTTCTGGGGGCAGTGGATGCCCTGGAGAACCGGTCAGATCCTCGCCTCGGTCAGTTTTCTTTGATTCCCGAAACTCTACCCTCTCTAAACTGAGCCATGGAGCCCCAGGGTTCCACGGACCCCAGTTTGGGAAACACAACAAGGAAAGTTTAACACTGTCTCCCTAAAGCACACTAGTGATAAGGGGGCCATACAAGGGGCCTAGAATATGCATTTAGATTTTACCCTGACAACATATGAAAACAAAACAGAAAAATGGATTACCTCCGAGAATATATATGGAAGGAGGGTCAGAAAAACTCCCTTAAATGAAGAATAAACCAGAGGATTCTTATGCTGTTGGTCAACATTTCTGCTTCCCTGGCCAAAAAATCAACGGTATCTGCCTGTCCCGCTCCGTTTGGGCTGCCATCCTCTCGTCCAGGGCCCCAGCTCTTCCAGGGAGGTCAAAGGTCAAAGGTCGGGGGCAGGCTGGCTTAGGCATGGTTTTAGGTGGAGAGAGGGAACATTAATGGCGCTCTTACCTCTTGTCACTGGTATGTCACTCTCAGATGGAAGCTATCTCTGGAGACATTGTTGATGAAGAAAGTGATCACTTTGGAGCTAAGTCTCACACCAGAAATAACATACTAACAAATCACGTCTCTCCGCGTATTTTATAAAGGACGTCAGTGACCAATCACACGTGCCGGTCAGGCTCTGTTTCGGGGCCTTTGCACACGCTGTGCCTTCTGCCCGGGGTCCTGGCCCCCCCTCGAGGCTGCCCTGCCGCCTGCCTGAGGACTTCCCTCAGAGGTAACCCCTACACGCCCCCTGCCCTGCACTGTCTGATCTCCTCCTATTTTTTCCCATCTTACTTTCCACCATCTAATATATTGTACGTTGTACTTGCTTATTTAGCTTATTGTCTGCCCCCAAACCTAGAATATAAGCTCATGAGGGGTTTTTTTCCCCGTCTGATTTATTAGCTAAAACAGTGCCCACGCCACACAAAATGAATATTTTTTAAAGGATACACGGATGGGTTCCTGACTGACCATGTCAGCGACCTCTGAAGGAAGACGTGGTATGTTCCTTTGCTAGATGAGAAATCCAAAGATCAGTGGTGATGATCTACTTCCCCGTTTCCACTGCTGGCATTTGCCTGCCAGTCCTCTCCTCTTTATTTTTTGTTAGAAAGTCACATATTCAGAACTTTCAAGTAACAAAGACCTGAAAGGAAGAAAAAGAGCACCCAGGGACCATTCCTATTAACATTTCAGTGTAGAGAGGGGGGAGTGTGTGTATACAGACAGTTTGATACATTACAGCACATACTTTAGCAGCATCCTTTCTCAAGAATCAGCCATTAAAGATCAAATGTGTCAATAAATATATTTCTGCGACACGATTTATTAATGCTCCGTGGTAGTTCATCATTTCCATGCACTACAATTTTATATAACCGAGTGGCTGCAAAGGTTGTGGCTGACTCTATTATAAACAACACGGAAGACAACATATCTGTACACTTTTTTAAAAGAACATGTATCTGATTATTTACTTCAGAGAGATACTTAGAAGTGTGGATTTGATTTATTTTAACAACATGCGTATTTTAAGTTTTATTGCTGATTACCTCCCGTAACGGTCGCACAAATGTGTACCCCGCAACAACGCGGACACGCACACACTGTGCGCGCGCGTGCGTGTTCCATGGCAGGTCCGCTCTGCCCCCAAGGCTCTGGGCTGGCTTCCTCCCTTGCCCTTCTGAGTCCAGGCTTGGCTTTAACCAGGTTTGGCGTCAGGCCCCCCTGTCTTGCGTTCGGTGCTGTTTCTCTCACCTCGTGTCCCTCGAACAGGCTGAGGAGTGGCGGCGCCTCCCTCTCCAGGCTGCTGTGCCGTCCACATTGCCTGTAAATCCCAGCGCACAGTAGGTGGTCAGGCCACTGTGGCTTCTCCCCCTCGTTCCCCTCCACCCCCAATTCACTTTTGTCACTCAGCGGGGGACACTTTTCCTCTTCTGGCGTCAGGCTGGCCTGGGGCTCCTTCCACAGCATCGTGGGCCGAGGCTGTGGTCAGGTTGGGCCCATACCCCATGCTGGACCCCAGGCTCCCCCGTCCGCCCCCAGCTCCTCAGACTCCCCCACTGCAAACGGAGGTGCCCGCCCCTCACTGCGGAGCAGCCTGGTCAGTGAGGTGCCCTCTGTAGGCTGGGTCCTGGCCCACGGCTACAGGCCTAGAAACCTGCTTCTCCCCTTCACTCCTGCGGGTCTCACCGGGGAGCTCTACAAAGTGGGCACGGAGCTTCTTTAGGATGATGGACTGCGCGTCCATGAAGCCGTTCGTGTGGGGGCAGGTGCCCACCCAGGCCATTCAGAAACCCCCACATTTCAGCTTTAACGAAAGTAACTCAGGCTTAGCATATCGCTTGTGTCTCCTTTATTCACTCCAAGTTCTCTTCTCACCGGGGATTCATTGTTTTTTAGCCATACAAAAGAGAATAAAAAATTGAGAAGGCCTCGAGGGACGCGGTCTTGGGTTTTCTAGGAGCCCAGATTCTCATGGCTCCCAGTTGCTGTCTTAAAGTCCTCAGGTGTGTGTCCTCATCCGTCACAGGGCAAGAGCGCACACGCAAGAGGCTGCCCAGGCTGTGGTAAGAATCCAGAAAGACCACCCAGAAAGCACTTTGTGTCGCCGAAACCCCGAAGCACAGCATGCACGGGCTGAAGCTGCATTCGTCTGTCCTCCGCTCCAGCGCCTGTGCATATTTATTTACCTGCGGTGCAGGTGTGACAGACTGTCCCCACCTCTGGCACACCAGAGCCGCCTGGCACGGAGCGCTTTCACCAGGCGGGAGCGCGGCTGGGGCCGCGCCCCGAGCTTGTTCTGGGCTGGAACGGAGCCTCTCAGGGCTCCGCTGCCTTTTCTTCACGAGAAAACCCAAACCATGCTCTCCGCGTGCGCCCCCTGCAGGTGTTCCTGGGAGGGCGCAGGCCAACGTGCATAGCAGCCCTCAGGACGGAGTGAGAACCACCGCCAACAGCGGCTGGAGTTTAACCCAAAGGAAAGATGCTGTTTCTGTGAAAACAGGCTGGACCTGTGTGGACTGAGTCAGTTTTAGAATCAATAAGTCAACTGTCAAAGATGCCTGTTCGAAGCCGGGTGCAGCCGGGGAGGTTAAACCCCTGTGTCATTGGATGTTTCCCTGTAAATCTCAGAACCCTGGGTCCGTGTTTCTCAGCGAGCTTTCCTTTTCCTTAAGGAATTCTGTTAAACTTCTGGTTTGATATTTTTAATTTTCCCATCCAAGATTCAGCAAGGTAGCTTTGCCTTTCCATTTCAAAGTAAAAGTAATTATTGCTTGCCGATGACAAAGTAACACGTATTCATGGTAGGAATTCCAGAAAAGATGGGAAATTATGAAGAAAAAACAAAAATTACCTGTAGAAAGTAAGAATGGTGGCTGAATGGGAAGAGGCATGAGGAAACTCTCTGGGGCAATTGGAATGGCCTAGGTCATTATGCGGCTTTGGTTGCTACGGATTGGTCAAAAGCTCAGCAGACACACACTTAAGATTGGTGCCCTTCACTGTATATAAATCTTATATTAAAAGAAGAACTGTACATAATTACTGAAGTTGGGTCAGTGGTATTCACGATGAACTATTTAGGGGGAAGTATACACATGTCTGCAATTCACTGTGAAGTTCATTGTAACAAAAAGACGGCTTGACAATGTAGAGATAGATGTGCGGAAAAGCCAACAGTGAAATGTTAACGGTAGAGCCCAGCTGGCGGCTACGGGAGTGCTTACTGCAAAGTTATTTTAGTTTTGCTCTGTGTTCGAAAATTTGCATAATACAATATTGAAGACCAGGTTACTAAATCAGCGTAGAATCCATATTTACAATCCAAATGTAACCGGCATTAAACATTTTGGCATATATTATTTCCTTTCCTTTTCATTCCCAAGAATATATAATGAAGAGCCTCCTCCGTATAGATTTATTTTCATGTATTTTCATTCAATATTGTAGTATAGCTTTCTCATAAAAAAGTCTTCACTGAGTAATTTTTAAATTTACACGCAGTACTGTTCACGCATGGGGCGTGCGGTGCCGTGAGTTTTGACAAACGTGTGCAGTCACGGAACCATCCCCGGGAGACAGTGCCATCTGTGTTCCTGCAGAGCCGGCCACTCGCCTCACGTCCAGCCCCGGCGACCGGACGCTGGTTTTCGTCAGTGTCACTGAAATGTCATCATGTGGCATGTGGCCTTTTGGCTCAGGCCTCTTTCCCTCAAGCACAATCGACCCGAGGTCCACGTCAGTGCCTGTATTAGTAGTTTTTTCCTTTTTATGGATGAATGGCATTCCCGTGTAGGGAGGTGCATCCGTGGGCTTTTAATGTTCATAAGAAGCCACGTATATCACAGCATGCTTCATCAGTGCATCCCCTCATTTGTGGGATATTTAGGTGTTTTACCTTCTTCTCTATCGTAAATACCATCGTAGTGAACATCTTCATGCATAAATCATGGTCATCGATCATGTCTTCGAGGTAGATTCCTGGGGATGACAGGGTCGCGTGTTACCGACACCTTTCAAGTCCTGAGTGCATGTTTAGTCTGTGAAAAGTTTTTCCTTGTGTTTCTTCATGTGGCTCACAGCAAGCTCGCCTGAAAACTCCACCGGTGTCTCTAACCCTCTCCCCGCCCCTCTTTCCCGACGCTGTCGCTGCAGGACTGACTCGGAGCCGGGCGGCCTGGGCAACCCTAAGCCATGGAGGCCCGTCAGGAAACCTCCCTCTTCCTGGTGAAGATCCTGGAGGAGCTGGACAGCAAGCAAAACACCGTGTCCTACCAGGACCTGTGCAAGTCCCTGTGTGCCCGCCTCGACCTGCCGCAGCTGGCCAAGCTCAGGAGCGTGCTCTTCTACACGGCCTGTCTCGACCCCAGTTTTCCGGCCACGCTATTCAAGGACAAGATGAAATGCACCGTGAACAACCAGCAGTCAAAGAAAATCATGGTGGCGGCCGACATCGTGACGATCTTCAACCTGATCCAAATGAATGGGGGTGCCGCCAAGGAGAAGCTGCCCACGGGCCGGCGGAAGGTGCGCCCGAAGGAGGCGCCCTTCGAGGCGTGCGGGCCGGAGGCGGAGATCTGCAGCGCGGCCGAGTACGAGCCTCTCCGCTGCGAGCTGGGTGACCGGCCTTTCAGCCAGGGCTACCCCGCCAGGCAGCCCTCTAAGTGCCGGAAGGGGGAGTGCAAGGACTGCCCCAAGTTCGTGCCTGCCTCCGAGCCCAACTTCTTGCTGGGCGTCAGCAAAGAGGCGAAAGCCCGCGCCGCCTCGCCGGACAGGCTGCCGGCCCTGGCCCCGTACTCGGCGGCCAGCCCGCAGCCCTGCGAGATGCAGAGGACCTACTTCCCCATGAACATCGAGCACGAGTCCCCCTCAGACCGGGACTCGCTGCCCATCGCCCAGGGCGTCAAGGAGACCTTTGTCTCCCACGACGAGCCCTTCGGGGTCCCGTCCTGTGTACAGAAAAGGAGCATCTTCAAGGAGGATTTCCACAACCTGATGGCCGTGTCCCCCAGTTTGGCTGGCCCCGCAAACAAGGCAGAGGGGGAGCATGGGGAGCCCCCAAGCCGGAAGGAGCCCCACAAGATACCCTTCTTGAATCACAGCTTCGAGATGCCCTACGACAGCCAGTACCTGAATCCCCTGTACTCCCCTGTTCCCGACAAAAGGCGGGCAAAGCATGAAAGCTTGGATGACCTTCAAGCCTCCACGTATTTTGGACCCACTCCTGTGATGGGGACCCCAGAAGCCAGGCGGTGTCCGGGGAGGCCTGGCAAGCAGACCCCCTGGCCAGCCAAAAGCTGGAGCCTAAACACAGAAGAAGTCCCTGACTTCGAACGGTCCTTTTTCAATAGAAACCCTTCTGAGGAGAAGCTGCGCTACGCAAATTCCAGCAGCCAGTCCCCCAACTTCCCAGCACCGGACCAGCGCCCAGCTTACCTCACGCCGAAGGAGCATCAGCCGATGCTCCCTGTCGGCTACGCGGCGAAGCCCAACGGGCTCAAATCGAAGGAGGTCTCGTCCCCCATGGACCTGGAGAAGCACGAACCGGTCAAGAAGTACAAGGACAAGAGCATCAGCTGTACCAGTGGGCAGCTCAGCTCAGACACCAGCAGCGTGGGCACCCAGACTGAGCAGCACGTGCTGGAGCCCAGGAAGTGCAAAGACCTGTGCGCCTCGGGGCCAGGCAGGTACGGCGATCGGCACTCCAGGAAGCAGTCAGATGATGACTCGGAGGTCGTCAGTGATGACATCAGTGACATTTTCCGATTCCTCGACGACATGAGTATCAGTGGCTCGACGGGAGTGATTCAGTCCTCCTGCTACAACAGCACAGGGTCCCTGCCCCAGCTTCACAGGTCGGACTGTGACAGTTCACCGGAGCGCAACACGCCCAAAGGTGCCAGCGGGCTCCCCGGCAGCAAAGGAGAAAAGGGCAGCCGGCCTGAAAACAGTCACCACTCAGAAGAGGAGCTGAAGACCAGTGTATGCAAGCTGGTGCTCCGGATCGGTGAAATCGAACGGAAACTCGAGTCGCTGTCGGGCGTCCGCGAGGAGATCTCCCACGTCTTGGGCAAGCTGAATAAGTTGGATCAGAAAATGCAGCAGCCTGAGAAGGTGGGTGTGCAGATGGACCTGAACTCCCTGACCAGCGAGGCTCTGTCCGAGGACAGCGCCTCCCCCCGGGCCTTCCGCGCGCACAGCGGCTCCCGCGGGCCCAAGCTGGAGAACAGTGCTGACTGGTGCTGCTCCGACGCCAGCGGGAGCAACAGCGAGAGCCTCCGTGTCCAGGCCCTGAAGAAGAGCCTCTTCACCAGGCCGTCCTCGCGGTCGCTGACGGAGGAGAACAGTGCCACAGAGTCCAAGATCGCCAGCATCTCCAACTCGCCCAGGGACTGGCGCACCATCACGTATGCCAGCCGCGGGGGCCTCGGCGAGGAGGAGGTAAAAGACAGAGGCCCGGGAGAGAGCAAGGACTGGCACCGAAAACCTAAAGAGGTAACGCATAGGGAGCGCCCGTAACTGGGCAAAGCGGGGCGCGTCTCCCTGTCTCGGGCGCACCCGCCGCATGCCAGCCGCCCAGCCAGGTCGGGCAGCCGCTGAGCGCGCTGAAGCAGAGGGTGCAGCGCAGGTGGGTGGGTGGGTGGGGGGTTGGCTGGGAGGCACGTGCTGCATGCTGCTGAGGGGCGGGAGACCACACTTTCACAAAGCAGGGGAAGCAGCAGGAAGGCGCGCGTCACCGAGGACAGCCTCCTGTCCTTTCCGAAACAGCAGGGTGCGGGCCAAGAACATGGGGAAATGATATAAAAGGGCCCCTTTCATGAACTTCGGTGCAGGCGTGGTGGTCCTTTGCAGAAGCTTCAGTGCCTGCATTATAAGAATAATAGGTGACTGGTGAGAAAACAGGGTGCAGAGGAAGTCACTCTGAGTTGCCCCACCCAAGGACGGCGCTGCTTACGACACGTCCTCCTTTCTCTGTAGCTTCTCCCTCCAGACTGCGCCTGCTGCCCTGTTCCTGGGAGCGGGCGTTTGCATCTGTTCAGCGGCTGTGGCCGTCAGTTCCAGGGGGAAGGTGCCCGCATGCACACACGCGTGCGCACACACACAGAGGTGGTAATGAGCAGAATTAATAGAATCAGTGAAGCCTCTTGGAAGATACTTGGCTTTGATGAGTTGGAAAATGAGAAGCGACATCCTTTCCTTGTTTGGGTTTGGCAGCACTTGCTGGGCTGTGTCTGCGTCTGCGCTGGCCACCTCGGTGGCTCGCCGGCATCTGTGTTCAGAGCATGGCTCCAGTTTGCCAGTGAGTGGGCCTGTGCTGGTTCCCACCCAGGTGTGGGGCGCACATGCTCACCCACTTCTGCTTGGTGGGGCAGTTTTGCTGGAGTGGGAGATAAACAGGCAGAGGGGACAACACTCTGTCTTCAAGGAGCTCCCAGGCCAGCGCAGGACACAGACAGGCTGGCAGGTGGTCGCAGTTCAACGGGACGGTGTTGACCGTGGGGTCTGGCCACATCCTATGGAATTGCAGAGGTGGGCACTGACCCGGTCTTGGGGGTCAAGGAGTGCTTCCCGGAGGAAGCAAGGTTATGTAGAGATCTGAGGGCCTAAAGTTAGAATTGGAAGGTATCAGAGGTCTCCAGCTGTAAGAGCGCCCTGGCCGCAGCTCATGGGCTGCGTGGGTTCTAAGTGACGGCCCACGTGGCAGGCACCTTCCGACCTCCAGGCTGTTGTCCTGACTGGTCCCTGGTCTTGAAAGCCCTGCACGGGTCACTGAAAATCACCAGAGGCTCCCAGGGTACTTTCGGGTTTGGCTTCTTCCAGAGAAGCAGCGTGGGTTCAGCAGCTCCTGGAGGGAAGGACCGTGTCTTTTACTGCTCGGTACCAGGCACACATTGGTAAAAGAAAGGCGGCAGCAACGGTTAAGCAAGGAATCTCAGGAGCCAGATGGTGAGGTGGCAATCGCAGTCCCACCCCTGGGCAGCTGTGGGCCCTGGGCCCCACCTCTTTCCCACACAAGACGAGCAGCAAGAGCAGTGACAGTGTGAGGGTCCAATCTCTCCCTGGCACAGAAACAGGGGCTCAAGAGTAGGGCTGTCGTGAGTCCGTTGGTGGATAACTGCGCTTTGTGACCTGGGTCTGTGGGGTCTGGAGACGTCAGGCCGGCGGCAGCCCAGCGGTGCGTGACGTCCGACAGCCTCTGTGCCCCTCCGCAGGCGGACAGGCAGTACGACGCCCCCCCGCAGCACCGCCTGCCCAAGCAGCCCAAAGACGGCTTCCTGGTGGAGCAGGTGTTCAGCCCGCACCCCTACCCCGCCTCCCTCAAGGCGCACATGAAGAACAACCCGCTGTACACAGACATGCGGCTGACCGAGCTGGCCGAGGTGAAGCGGGGCCCGCCTTCCTGGGCCGTGGAGGAGTACACCCGGAACACGGGCGACAAGGGCAAGCTCGCAGCCCTGGACCTGCAGGTGAGCTTCTGGCGGTCCCGGGATGGCTGGGGGAGGGGCGGCGGTGGGGGCTGCCAGGCACTGCAGGTGCAGGAAGGGACCACAGTGACCCAGACCGGCCCACACCCTACCACTGGGCTCCCGGCCGCACCACGGAATTCTGAACTTCCTCGGAGCTGAGAGTTTCACCAGGGGGTTCCTGTCCTGTTGTTTGTGTGTAGCAGTGGAGGTGACGTAGACCGTACAGCGTCTGTCTCAACGGCTCGGCCACAGTCACACAAAAGCAGCGGCAGATAATTAATAAACAATCAAGCGTGCCTATGTTCTGATAACATTTTGGTTTTTGGACACTAAGATTTGAATTTCACATAATTTCTACATACAACAAAATATTAGTCTTTGATTTTTTTTCAACCAGTTAAAAATGTAGATGTCACGTTTAGCATGTGGTGTGCACAGTGACAGGCAGCGGGGGAATTCAGCCTCCGGGCCCTGGGCCCTGGCCACCACCCTAGGACCACAAGCAGCGGGCCAGCACAGGCTGCGGCGTGAGGTCCTGGCGCCCCGGCCGGGTGGCAGGCAATGCGGAGTTAGCAGGGACGGCTGACTGTGATGAGGGCCGGGTCCGGCAGCCGAGTGCCCAGGGACCCGCTCCAGTGAGGGGCTGCTGCCCTCGGATGTGAAGACAAGGGAAGGGAGCTGTTTCCGAATCCCTCAGACCCACAGCACCGGGCGCCTGACGGGAACTGAGCCTCTGCCCCTGAACTGAACTGCAGGCCATTAGGGAGGGGTCGGGGAGGGAACACCCCACCGGCTGAACCTACCTGGGGGCCTCAGGGCCCGTCCTTAGGGGCAGTCTCCTGGGACGCGAAACAAGGCAGGAATAGGCACGGTCGGACCTGGGAGGACAGGCAAAGAATGACCAGCATGGGTTAGAATCATCATTAGGGCCACTAGGGACGTCACGTGACAGCGTTTAAGTCTGTTTTGTAACCCTTTGTGTGTGTCTGTGTGGATGTGAGAGACAGATTATTAACATGCTTTGTGAGCGGTAAACAATCCAAGAAAATGGATATGTGTATTTCAGAGATTTAGGTGACCTCACTTGGAGCCGCAATGTGTTGTTGCTTTGCTGTGACATGTTATTAAGTGCTCGCCATACACGAGAATACTGCCTTTCTTTATGGAAATAGATGGGCACCGTTCACGGGGAATGGGATTCACAGGCCAGGCAGGTTAAAGACACTATTTCTCCTGCAGGCAGTTCATTATGAAACCCAGGGAGCCCAGGAGACAAACGTCGAGTGGGCTCTCCCTCAGGGGATGCTGTGTCTGGCACGGAGACGCCCTGCCACACGCATCTGTAGACCTTGGCTTTGAGCAGTGCCCCGACCTGTCAACAGGTGTTTGAAATTGGAATACTTTATGTTTGGTTTGAATTGCTGATTATCTGGGAGGTGCCTTTGATTTTTTTCAGTCGACACTTTGCTGAGGACCTGCAGACTGAATGGGAGCCAAGCGATAGTCTTGTGTGAGCTCCATTCTCAGGGGCTGTTGGCGGAGAGCCTTTCTCAGGGGCCTGCTGCTTCCCCCGCAGTGGGCCAGCCCGTTCTGGGTTGTGTGCCATTACACTTCACGCTTGTGTTTCTTGGCCGTTTTGCTTGCTTATACACAGGAGATCTATAGCCCTGCGGGGTCAAAAACATGACGTCTGCCGTAGGCGAGGGGCAGGTGCGGCCCGTGCTGCGTGGGACCTGCCTCAGGCAGCGGCTGTGGGCAGCGCTGGGCGCACGGCCAGGTCTGCCAGCGGCAGAGCACCCTTCGTGCTTCAGGAGGGACGGCTGTCAGGGTGTCTTTGACCCGGTTTCAAGTACTCGCCATATTTCTAACACCTCCTCTTCACTTTTAGACGCAAGAATCTTTAAATCCAAACAACTTAGAATATTGGATGGAAGACATTTACACTCCAGGCTACGACTCGTTACTCAAACGCAAAGAAGCCGAGTTCAGAAGAGCCAGGGTCTGCAAGATAACAGCGCTGATCGCAGCCGCCGCCTGCACGGTCATCCTTGTCATCGTTGTGCCCATCTGCACAATGAAATCATGAGCCCGGGGATGCCGTGTTGCCCGCAGCTTAGCACTTCCGATGTCTTCCTCCACAGTTTAAAATCGTGCGGCCGTGTGGCAACAGTTTGTTCAAACAGAGATGAAATCCTGGAGGCTTTGCCGAGGACGGTGTCCAGAAAGCACGCGTTCCAGAGAGAAACCTGGGGGCTGTGACTGAACGGTACGCGGATGCATTTTCAGATGTGCAATAGCTTTTCCTACCAAAAGAATGTAATGAACTACCACTGATACAAATTGAATTACAAGCAAAAAACAAAACAAAACAAAACAGAACAAAACACACACAGGCAGGCATTTTACTTAGATTCCTTCCATTCTGATGACGTTCCCGGCGGGGAACGTGTTATACAGGAGATAGTCAGTACAGGCCTCTCGGAGGGAAACCAAGGGAGACGGCACCATGAGCGGGCAAAGGGAGAAGTCCCGTGTTCCGAGCGTTCCCAGAGCGCCGCAGGGAAAGCGCAGGGTGTGCATCCAAGAAGGATGTTACTTCTGTGCCGACTTTTACCAAGGGCTACTGACTTTGCATTCTCGCCCTTCTGTCGTCACGACGCGTTTCCCTGCAGATCCTCCCGGGGCCCTTTGGGACCTCTTCCTCGTGCCCACGGCAGGAAGGAGCTCAACTGCCACGTGCGGCGTGAAGTGTGCTCTTCCTTGTTTGACAGGCCACGGAGCCCAGGCCAGGAGCCCTTCCCGTCCCCGCCCCGCGGGGTGGGAGCGCCGCTCGTGCCTGTGAGAGGCCAACAGCGCACATCACGGCCACCCCGAAGGGCCCCCCTTCCTGCTTTGGTGTGCGGCTCCACTCTTTGGTCTTCTGTCTCCTGGTCGGACCAGATGCTCTGCTTCTCACTCCTGAGTCGAAGAGCTTGGAACTTGTCCTTGTGCCTTGAAGAGGAGAGCTGACGGCTACACCTGCCGTTCTAACTGTAACCCACGGTCTCCGTGCACCCCTGAGAGCGGCCACCTCCCTGGCTTCACAGACTGGAAAGCTTGTCAACCGTACGATACAGGCGTCGAGCTGTTCTCACCCACCCCAGCGCGCACTCCAGTTCCGAATACTCGCCGTCAGTGCAAAACATAGTATCTATTTAACCGTTTATCTATCTATCTATGTGTCTATCTAAATACCTAATTTTGGTTCATTGTCTTCTCTGTTAAATAACTTGCGAGCAAGGTCCCTTCGGTGTGCAGGAAGCCGTTGTGATTTCATGGGAATTCAGGCTCAGTTCCCACCTCGTGAATGGTGCTCTGACATACCTGGATAGAAAGAACCCTTTTAGGTATTTGAGTCGAATGTTGTGTTACAGGTGAAAGAAAATGATTGATGGACACTGGCTACCTAAGTCTCCTGAGAACAAGGTGGGGCAGAAATACATGCTGGTAGCGAGAATGACCACTCTGGATGATACAATACATTCCTGAAAGGAAGGTTTAGAAAACACCTCAGATTTTAAAGCAATAGGAGCCCAGTATTCATCCCCAAAACTCCCAAATAATGCTTAGCTCGCTGTGTCTAAGCCTGTCGTTCGCCGTGAGGGGTAGTCAGGACACTTCATGCTGTTAACCAATAAGCGACGGGTGTTTGCCTCTGTAGGGAACCTTTATTTTTAGAGGTCCTCACGTTATCTGTTTCAGCCTCCCGTTTATGGGCGGATTTTCAACTTGGCGACGGAAACCTAAGCCTTAGTGTGGAAAACTGGGGATTTATCACTGCAGATGACATGTATATATAGTACTATCGTCAGAATTTTAGTCTTTTGGTGCTTGGTTTTGGGTTGGGCACAGTCAATAAGGCAGTTTTGTTCGCCCCACAGGGGATGCTAGGTGACCGCCCGCGGCGGCTGGTCCTTCCAGCCGGAGCGGCTCCATGACACGCCCTCCTCCCCCTTCTCCCCTTGGCCACCGATGCAGCTCCCAGAGCATCAGACAGGTGGGGCCCAGCCTCTTCCTCTACGGTTTGCAGGGCAGTGGAGACGCATCCACCCAGGATAAGGAAAATCCTGTTGAGCCCCAGACTCCTCACGTGCCGGGCAGGATCCCGGGGGACGGACCAAACCGCTATGGCCACCGCCCTCGGTGTCTCCACGCCCCATGGGCCCTGCCTGGCCGCCGGCCTAGTTACTGGAGCAGGGGGCATGACTGTGAGCCCCACCCCACGCAGGGCAGTGAAGGGACCCTGCGGAATTTCCTTGTACCCTTTCCATAGCTGAGGAGGTAACCAGAGAAGTTTAGTTTTCCTCTAAGTCCAGTGCAGCTTTTAAATGAACTTAAAACATCATGGCCACGTCTTGGAAATGTCCAGATGGTGAGAGACCAAGGCCAGACCGCCTCCTCTGGGAAGGGGTCTGCTCAGGCCGACAGCTCTGAGTCGGGCGTCACGTTTGGGCCTTCGCCATGAGTTGAAGCTCGTGGATGCCTGAGGTCTCGGGACCTGGAGAAGGTGAAGCTCACAGTTGGGTTCTCTCTCTCTCCATGGACCCCCAGACTCGTGGCAGCCTTCCTTCCTGGGACCCCAGACTCACCCTGGCTCCTGCAGCCCCCGCTTTGCAGAACAGGCCCAGACCAGACGCTGGCTGGGAAGGAAACATCGGCCCCGCCCTCTCAGAGCCCCTCTCACGCCCAGCCTCTGGGAGGCCCCGCCGCGACGTCGGACCTGGCCTGGCCTCTGCGCTGGGGGCGGACGGCCGCCACCCTCTCAGGCGTTTTCACAGAAGCGCCATTTCTTCTGTCTGAGCCTCAAATCACCACATGGTCAGAATCCACCTCATTGCCCTTGCGTTTCAAAAAAACAAACAATCTGATGTTATTATTTAAGGGATTACTTTGAAATCAGATGCCCTTGGCCAGTGATAAAATGCAGAACCATGACAACTTCTCTTCCAGGCTTAATTTACTTTGAGTCTAGCCTTGCAGGAAAGCAAATTTCCCAGCTCAAAGTTTTCACATATTTTACACCAGTATCCTCTTCTTTCAATGGCAAATACAGTTAAGCAAATCACACATATCACCCATTACTAGCTGATCATAAACTACTAGTATTTTAGGGCATGCGGCTACGTGACTGGTAACTGCAAGGCGAGTTTAATGGATGTGCTGAAATTCACTGTTCTGAACGTGCCACAAGTTCTGATGCCTGTGCTGGAATCAAGGCAGTGCTGTTTTGTTTACAGTTCATCAATGTAAGAGCAACGGCTCCTCATTTTATTAACCAAAAACAAAACAAAACAAAGAACTCTGCCAACAGTGATGTAAACATTTGTGAATGCTGAAAATTCAACATGGTTCATATTATAACCAACTGGCAAGAGTATGGTGGTCAATCATGTGAAGACCAAACCAGTATCTACTGTCGATTGTACTATGGACGCTTGTATTGAAAGGCCAAGCTATTAGTAATTGCTGGTACAGTGGGAGAGAAGGGTATGAGATACTGATTAAGTAACAATGAGAAATGCAACAATCTCCCTTATTTATGCCTTATGAACAGAAGGGCGTGCGGTGTGAGGTGATGTTTACGTGGGAGACGCAGAAGGAGCAGGTGTCTGTGAAGGCAGGGACGTGTCTTTTCTATGTTCGTCCTGTACAACTCAGCACACTCTTGGTGCTTGACCGACGTTATATAATACCAGTAACTAAGCACATTTTTAGATCTTTTTTCAAATGGCTTGTGTAAAACTTGGTTAATGTACAACAGTTGGTTTGAAGCTATCATGTAAAATCTGCCTCGTCCAATAATCAAAAATAAATGGAAAAATCATATCTCGTGGTGCTATTTTATTCTACGCATATGTTGTTAAGTGTGTGGTTTTACACACAAGTCCCAAGTGTCCAGCCTGAAGACTTTCCAAACGTCGAACACATCGATGCAATCAGCATCCACATCACATCAAAACACAGAACATCTGAGCACCCCAGGAGCCCGCATTGTGCCCCTGAGCGGCACGTATGGGAGTTCCAGGTGCTCCGCAAGTGGCATCGCCAGTCCGCTGGGTGTTGGGGGTACTCATGGCCTCCTTAACTTCCATTTCCCTGGGGACTGATGAGACGTGCTGCCTCTCTGTACATGTATTAGCTATTTGCATATCCTATTTTGTGAATTGCATGGTCACGTTTTTGCTAGTTTATGCAAGGCTGTTTGTCTTTTTCATGTTGATTCAAGGAGATTCTCTTTATAGTCTGAAAATGAGTTCTTTGTAGATTTACATTAGAAATACTATTTTCCATTCCTTGGGGATCCATTTTTTACTCTCTTAATGCTGTCTTCCTGATTAATGAAAGTTCTTTATTTTAATCCAGAAATGTATATTTTTCTTCCTGTACGATTGGCAATTGGAGTCTTGTTTAAGAAATCTTTACAGGCTCCCAGTTCATGAAGATGCTCTGTTTTCTTCTAGAAACTTTGCTGTTCTACTTTCCATGCTTAGATCTGTACCCCTCCCGGAACTGATAGTTTTACCTGGTGTGAGATAGGGACTTAAGGTGTGTGTTTTTCCCAATTGGATATCTATCAATTGGCACCATTTATTAGAAAGATCATCTTCCCCCTGTATGCCTGCTGAACATATGTGTACGGCTTCCCGGATTTTTTATTCTGCACCATTTGCCGATTCATCTGTTCTTCTGTAAGCACAACATCAACATCATTTTTTCCAACCCAGGGACATTCAGGCGTTTCTCACTACCGACAGAAGCCTTAGCACATCTCTCGCCTGTGAAATCGCATGGAGCACGTTGGAGAGAGAATTCACCCAGCGTCTCTTATCTCATTCACAAATGTCACCGCGTTCCCTGCTTGGGTCATTAAAGAAAAGTGACTAAACGTGAGTCATAAGCACATTGCAAAAAAGCAATGGCCATCTTGACACCTGAGCACTGAAGGACGCCTCTGACGAGGTCTCGGAGAAGGGAGGGGTGACTGACTATACCACAGCGGGTGTAAGGAGGACTGTTATTTTTACGATAAAGTATTAATTCAGATCC